AAAAAATCGCTACTACAAATTATTTTTTTCTTCGCACCAATTTGATTTAATCTTACTGGGATAAATGTTTTGTAATGTGTTAATCCGGTGTGATGCTAAATGATTTGAGAGTGCGAATAAAAAGTGTACGTCTCTTCAAAATATTGAGAAAAGGATATAAAGAATACTTACATATTTTCAACCGTGCAGCCCAGAACAATATAGATGAGGATACATATTGTCATAAGAAGAAATGCGCAGAGTATCTGTTCTGTGTCATTGTGTGGTTTCAGTTGACAATAAAGAATTTCAATATAATTCCCCAATCTACCCATACGATCGCAGTCAGTTGTTCCACGCACATAGGCGCATCGCTCATTGTACTCCAACATTTGCACCGCACTGCAACTTGGCTATAATATTTACATATGTAACTAGTAAATGCCTTGTCGTTTGGATATAATTTTCACTTACCAGCTGCGAGTAAGAAGTAAAGAGTCCTTCAGACATTGTATTTATCCAGTATGAATATTTAGTAGTATTTTTAGCGAAAATTCCGCAAAAAAAAATTGTATTTGAATTGAAATTATGTCAAACAACAAATGAAATAAAAAGTTGTGAGATTAAGGCTGCTTTGTTAAATATGATACAAGTATTTAAAGGTAAAACCAAGGCACATTAAACAGGTAGTATCAGTAGAGCAAAAACAACATTTGCGTGTATTTTGTTGTTGCTTCTGGTATCGAAAGTGTCAACAACTGTTCTGAATTTTTTCTTCTAAATCAAAGCGTGCCATGTGAAATACAAAAAATTATAAAAAATAAAAAATTGAAATTGGAAAAAATAAAAATTGATGCAACTTTCTTTCCTAGTAAATTTATTTGCTTCTCGAAGCATTGATCCATCCTTTGCAATGCCCAGTAATCAGCGGTCGTGCTGCCGAGTTGGGCGAACGTTCCAAAAGCTGCTATTCAATCGCTTGTTTTGTATGGAAAAAGGTTTCACAAGCAAATGGATTTTAACAACTTATAATTTTCGTGAGAAAAAATTAAAAATATTTGACATTTTCGAGACCAAATAATTTGAAAATAAATCAAATCAGCTGCTCTACTGATACTACCTGTTCAATGTACCTTGGGTAAAACCCATCGTACAGTTCCATAAGTAAAGCAACTCTTCTTCTTACTGTTTTTTCTGGCAGGCTGTTGCTGTGTTTTTGGTTAGTGTATTGGTGGTTTTGGTTCAGTGTGTTAGTGTATTTTGAATAAATTGTCATAGAAATAAAAGAAATTGTAATGTAATGAAAGAAATTGTAAAAGATAAGAGAACATGCCAAAAAACAGGTGATCACAGCTGTAGGCATTTTTTGGCAATCAGCTGATAGTGTTTTTACCTATGAAACTGTACGATGGTAAAACCGTTCGCTCAATTCGTCGGCCATAATTTATTTTTTGAAGTTTTTCCATGGTGAAATTATGGTGACAGGTAATAAGATCAATGGAAATAAGGTCAATTGACTTAATTGACTTGATTAAGGAACAAGAAGACTAAAACGAAAGGATTTTTCCGATATTGCCGAAAAATAATCAATATAATATATGTGGATATCCGCAATAAATCAATGTCGGCTCTGGAACTCGTCCTTTCAGACCGACCACCCAACACCAGTGTCAGTGCGGCTCGGAAATTTGTCCTTTCCGACCGATCATAGCCTACTGGATTGTAATTACTTAAATATAGAGAAGCGAAGGCGCGGCGTGAGAACTAGTCCTTTCCACCCGCCCAGGCCGTGCGGCTCTTGAACTCCTTTCAGAACACCTGCCTAGGGACACGAATTTCGATACGATACGACACCATATCGA